CAATAAATTCTTTTTATTATTATTATTTTTTTTTTTTTTTAGATGAAGCACTTAATTACAAATAATTTTTTATTCATTTATTGTGTTTCAAAATAAAATAAAATTTATGTATCTGATCTTTAAATGACTTTTATTCAAAAAAAATTGTTATGTCACATATTAAAAATATTATGTTTCCGAGTAGGAAATTGCAAGATCTCTCAAAATAAAGAAAAAAAAATTGGGGTTACCATTTAAAAAAATTGTCAATGACGTCACTGCCCAAAAATGGGAAGTGGGGGAAAATTGAATTCTATTTAAAAAATTGCGCTTTAATTAAACAAAATTGACCTGTCCGAGCATTTTTTCAAAAAACCAACTACTTCCATTATAATGAATTTATTCCTTTCATTTGAACCATACTGTATATGCACATTCCAAAAGTCTCCATACCCAGGAATATCTAAAACAAAACAAAAATAAAGGTGCAGTGTGTATCTTAAAATTAAAAATTAACACAAGTCATAACTTTTTAAATTCTTACATATTTTCTTGCAATAAAAGGTATAACAATTTCAATAAAAATAGAAAACATCTGATTTATGATCTTAATAGGTGAACTATGCAAAAATTAACAAGTTGACCTAAATATCATATTAGTTTTTGAACATATTTGGGTATTATTTATAAATATATTAATGAATATCACCCAAAAATTGAACAATAATTTTTTGAGCACAAATCATTCACCTTTTTTCATCATGGTCTTTATGAGTAAAACTATGATGAAGTTCTATCTCCGGTTCTACAATATCTGTTTGTAAATTGGCTTCACACATTTCGCTCACAACTCCTTTTATTTTTTTGACCACAAATGTTTAAAATGTGAATCCATTTATCTCTAAGAGTAATAATAATAGCAAGAAAAATACATATAAAATTTCTTGTTAAGTTTTGTGAGAAAAATATTTACTTTTGTAATTAAAATTTAAATGAATCAGAAGTTAATGACATTCTTAAGAACACTAAATTAATACAATTTACTTACCTTTGAAAAGAAATATCACATTTGAAAATAAAAATATCAGGCTGACAATTGCCATAATTTATTTTCAAAGCCAGATTTACACCATCTCATATTATTTAAATTTACCTTTAACTTTACATTTATTAACGATTATCCCTGTATTTAATCACACAATATATTAAAGTGAAATTTAAAGGGGTAAATCAGTAAAGTTATTGATTTTTTGTCATTTTTTTTGATAACATATTTTTTATGGGTGTAAAACATCTTTGAATTTAGTGATAGCAGCGCGCTAAGCGCTAACGGTTCAACTACCAACAAGGAAACAAGTCCCGCCATTTATTCAGACCTTCTCTTTTTATTTTTCTATGGGTGCTCCAGTTCATAAGCGTCACACAAACGATTTTGAATTGAGCGATCTGTAATATTCCATAGGTAGGTTTAACAAAATTAAGGTAAAATGATTGTTGCAGTACCGAAACTTTATAGAGGATGCAGAAATGTTTGCAATATTTTATGGCTAGTTCGTTAGCGACAAACCTAAAAAAATATGTTTTGAATTTCACTCGCCAGAGTCAGTCTTTGAAACACCGTTCATACCTGTTTGAGGTGCTGTTTTTTTTTTACTAATTTATTGGGAATTTGAACCATGTTAATTTGCACATCTTCAATAGCTTTTGTTATTACTTTGGGCCTTTTAGAGCTTTTCCTTTTTTATAATTTTAAACAAATATTTGTTTATGACAACAAAAGAGAATCAAATTCCATTTATTCACCTGGAAAACGTTCCTTAAATTTTGGAATAAAATTATGAATATAAAATAATTTTGTTCCAGTGTAACATTACCTAAAATAAATGATATACAGTGATTAACTTTTACGAGTCATAGTAAATAAATTTGTACTTACCAACAAAAAAGAATTAAGCCACCAATAATCTCCAAAAATAACTAATTGCTCTATTAATATTCAATGAAAAATGGAATAAAGGTGTTTATAAAATGTAAACAAATATAATATAAATATTCTTAGTCCCCAAATGAACGCCAGTGACATTTCTGACAGTTCAGTTTAGTTCCTTTTACGTCAAATCAGACCCTTTCGATGGGTTTTTAATGGTTATCAGATCACGTGGGTTGCGGTTATTGTTGAAGACCTAGTACATAATAATAGTAGAATAATACTCAAGTCTATCGAAACTATTATGTATTTCTTTTTTCAATAATTCAAAACCATAACATAAAATCATCGTTTACAAGGTGTCATAAAATATAAACATAAATAAAATGAAAACCCATTTCTACACTTGGTTCTCTAGATTATTTATTGCTATGTCCAGCGCCACTTTAGTAAAGGTTTCATTGTAAAAATAACGGTTTTGGTGTAATTCGAACTCTGACATCCAAAATTCAAAACATCTAGGATTAAAATTAGAAATTTTAATTTTGTTGAGCTTTTTAATCTACACCCGTATTTGGAATAAAGCTTTTTCTGTAACCAAATTATATTTTTAGCATTTGGTTATTTACACGAGAATAAATTTGTTATTTGTTTATTCATAAGTAGGGGACGTTTGACTGACCTCGCCAACCTTTGGTAAATTCATTCATCTATGACTCATATTTAAAAAATACAGAAAATTGAATACGAATGAGTCACTCATAAAGTTATTCAGAGCAGTTTTCCTCAAAAATTAAGAACTATACAGAGTGTACTTAAAATACTCAGACATATTCAAACAGGTTAATCTGAGAATCTAGAAATTCACTAAATTCAGAAAAATGTTAGTTCGACAAAATTCCTGTCATTAACAAAGTCTGTATTCAAATTTTGAAAATTCACTTCAAAAAATACATAGGCTACTGATGTGAAAAATTGCTTAAAGGTGTGCTGTTCCATCTTATGAAATTTCATAGTACCAAGAACTAGTAGCTGCAGTTCAAAGTTCTGTTTGCAAAAGAATGTAGAGCATTAGCGACAGACAAATAATTTTGTATTCTTAACCCCTAACAAGCAGCAGAAAAATCGTCAAAAAATACGAAAGCTGTTCTTTTTCCGCTGAGCATATCTAGTAGGCGATAATATTTTTGCAACAAATTTTATGTGGCATTTCAATCTAGTTGTTTACAAGTTTAGTTAGTGACAGTTGTCAATGATATCTGTTTGTAAGTTACATAAGTTTAAAGTTATCCTTCCACCAATAAGTGATGTAAATGAACAACGAGTATAATCGTGCTGTGATTTTTTTCAATTTCAAGCGTGGCTTAAACCGTATAGAATATTTTGAGGAAATCACTTGTATGATTGTTGATAAGTCGCATTCCTTTGCTGCCGTCACAATGAATTTCGACGTGGTCGACTTTCTTTAAACAATAGTTTTCGAGCTCCCAAGCCAAAAATGGCATTACAAGAAAAAAATATTTATCATATTTGGAACATCATTAAAGAAGAACCGCACATTCAAGTACCCAGAAGCACCGTAAGACGTGAGCGACATGGATCACCGCCTACGTCCTCGCGGTTCGAAGGGCCTCGCGGTCCGAAGGGCTTCGCGTCTCGAAGGTTCTTGCAGCTTTCTTTAACTCACGATAATATTTAGCTAGAACTATTAAGAGACCTATAGACCATGTAGGTAGCTAATTCTTAAATAGCGACGATGTGGCCTTCTATAAAACTAGTAGTGTCGGCCAAATATGGCTGACGCGGCCTACCTGATAATAGCGGCGTCGGCCATATATGGTCGACATGGCGATCAATGTGGTAAGATCATTAAAGCTAAAATAGGGTGACCAAACGTACATCATTTCGCTGCATTGTACAGCATATTTAAAGTCTGTCCAGCGTTTTATCTTGTACAGCAAATATACAACCGCATTTGTCCAGAAAAACGCAATTATTATCCAGCAGTGTCATGCATAGTTTACTGAAACGTAACAAATAAGACAAAAACGTAATACATGACTCCTCTGTTTTTGTTTTGGAGAGCAAAAAAGTTTTTGTGTTTATCTTTGAGGAGCTAAAAAAAAGTTCTCACCTCTCCAAAGTTCATCAATGTATATTCAAATTTATTTCTATGCAACCAATGACTACATTAACCTATTAGTAAAAAGGGTTTCAAAATTTAAAGATTCATGTATGTGGTACGCTGGTCCTGCCTGTATAAAAAACATTGGGTAAATTGAGATCTTGGAAGGTGTAGTGCAGTTTCTACTCGTAACTGAAAAATTTCTAATTTGGTCTTGTAATTTTGCAGTTAGAGATATTTAATTTGCAAATCAAGCTTTTCTTTGTTCTTGCTAACAGAATTTTTTTCTCCTCTACACGTCTTGATACGCTTTCGTTTCTCTGCAAAATTGTTTGACAACGATCAACACAATAGTTCTGTATGTACAAGTGCAAAAAGTGCAACTTTTCTGCACACGTCTTGAAAATTGTCGAACGAAACCGAATGTTAAATTTGGCAACACGGAAGTACAAAAAAAGAACTTTTTGCTTGTGTTTCATACATTTTTATAGTTTTATACGATCACTTTAGTTATTAGTAATGTATTTTAACTGATCTGTTTGCGTTAATGCAAAAAACAAAACTTTATTGAACTATATTTACTGAAAAAAATGGCTCTTTATTGCACTAGTTGCAATAAAATTTTATTGCACTCATCTGTCACTATAGCGTTTTGTCATCATGACAAACATATAGATACTTTCAAATCGACGACATTTATAGTCGACCTAAATAAAATATTTTTTGTTTTTTGCATGTACGTAGAAAAAATATTGTATGCAACTCGTATAAAAAAAGTTTATTGCACTCGAAGTGTTGTCAAACTCGGCCTGACGGCACCGTTGGACAATTTTTGCGTTTGTTGGATAAATAACTATTGTAGTATCTACTAGTGCATCAAATTGTTTTTTGCACTAAAAACTACTCTGATGCACTAGTCAAAAAAAGAGGCACTTTTAGCGCTCGTATAAATCTATTTTATAAACCCACCTATGCAGGAAGTTGAGGGCACGCCAGGGTCTTGCGTTAATAATGTTAGCTGTTCTATTGATATGCTGTCTTGAGGTAGCGGTTCTGCATCGACCAACGATTCTGGCACCCCAAGACCAACAATTACTGGAGACTCCTTTCCTAATATATCCAGCACCATATTATCAACATCGTTCATTTTTCCATTACCGCCTGTACCCGTTTTTCTGGCATTATCTACTTTCGTCTTAAAATAAAAACTATTCAGAATATTTCAGAATAGAGTACCGAAAACTAGGAAACATTTAGACCTTAATTAATTATTAAGAAAAGTTAAATAAAATTTACTGTAGACGTCCCAGTTTCCATTCTACAGGTCGTAATTTTTAGGTGGATAGCTCTTGGTCTATTAGGAAATATTGAGATAGGACTGGTGGTTGTTAAGCTCAATCGTAATATGTTGACTTCAAATTAAGCAGTTTTTCTATGGTCCATTAATATTAAAATACTCTCTATACGTCCAGCTAACCCGTACGAGTAGTAGGTAAAATTACAAATAATACGTTCTTACTTACCATTGTAATTTTCTTCATATTTTGCCATAGTGTGTCACTGACATATATCCACTCTTTATCTAAAGGCATTAAACAAACGCTCTTTGCTAAATTTGCCAATTCTTTCCATTTTAAAACTGTGTCTGATTTTTTCAATTTTTCGGAAAAGGCACCGAACAGAATTTCTTTATTTTCTTTAACGTTTTGTAAAAAATGCATTTTTCTCTCGATTATTACTTGTTTGCTAGCCATGGATACTACCAATATTATTTTGCGCACAAACGCAGAAAAAACACGTTAAGACACGTTACATCTGTCACGTCTCCCGTTGTCAACAAAGTAAAAATTTAAATGATTTAACTCGCAGTAAACTTGATCTAAATTGTCCAGTAGCAATGACATGTAAAAGTGTAGAATCTTTTCACTGATACATACAAGTATATGAAATTAGATTGTGTTACAATAAAACTAAACTAAAAATTACTAATAAGTTGTAGACTTGTTACAATTGTAAGCATTGTGTTATAGGCCCCTGGTCACCCTAGGGAAAGTAGGTAATTTCTGTTTCCTTTACTGTCAGTTACTACTTAATAATTTTAGTTAAAGTGAAGCTAGTTGCATTTTTAAACATGAAAATTTTACAGCTAATTTTTTGTTCTTTATCTATATAAAATCCGTCCTCTTGCGTCACCAGAGGGCCTCGCAAAATGTATCTTGCCCTAATAGAATTTAAGTCTTGTCCCGTCACTGCAAGCACCTTTAAAGATTGGTGTGGAAGCAACTAATATTATATTACTCAAACATTTAAAAGTCCTTAAGCTTTGTTCTCGATGAATTAACTTTAGCTCAAAAAGAAGACCGTATGGCCGTATGTGCAGTTCAACAATGATTCGCTTTGACCATGGATCGTTCAATTTGGTGTACAACATGAAACATGGGTCTACTTGGATGATCCCGAAAAAAAAGCAACAATCGTCAGTTTGGGTCTTTGAGAATGAGGTTTCCAACAAAAGTTGTACGTGAAAATAGCCGAAACCAAAAGGTGGTTGCCACTTTTTTTGGAATTACTGGGTATATTTCCACTATAGTCTTCTTAAGGATAGACGTACTTTTAATTTAGAATGCATTTTGTTTGCCTCAAGTTCTCCTAAACGCCCAAGAGCAAGGATTATATCGCACCTCCGGAAGAACAATCACTTAAGTGCAGAAAAGTTAATTCCACAGAAATGACGATTTTTTTTTTTATTTTTAATAACTGGTTAACTAAGCAACAGTAATCGTGCAAATAAGGCAAAAAGCTATAATATTCATAAAATTTGTTCTAGTTTTAAACAGTGCCATTAGTTACCAACATTTTCCGAAAAATAAGTAGCTACAGTCTATGCAAGTCAAACACCTTCCATTTGCGTCATTGTTCTTATGTGACATATTATACTTTTAATACGTATGCCACAATTTAATACAAAAACACTTTATTATTAAAACCTATATTTACCAACTCATTGCATCGGGTAGGGAACTTATTGAGAAAATAAGTATTTTAGAAAAATAAATATACCAAAAACTTTATTAGTAGCATAAATTACAATTTGTACAGCTTACATAGTGCTATTGAAAAAACGGAATATATAACTTAGGAATGATATACCTACCGTGTATTAAACTTAGTATACTTTCCTTTAAAGCCCGCATAAATACCAAATTGCCATTAAGAAATATTTGTTATATCCTTTGGTGCGGTAGACTAACGCCTGTTAACGGTTCTAATCTAGATACGTTGTCAACTTGAATCAGTATAGCTTGTTTTGTAGAAGTAGAAATCGCTACCTTTTTCAAAACGTAGCATTTTGATATCTGCTTGATATTTGGGATTCACTATTAATGCATTGCCCCATTAAATTGGATGGTGCACTGCAAATTATTTTCGAAGAATTTGGCATTACTTTCGGAGTCACATTGTCATTATTGTCGGCAGTTTTTTTGTAATTTCAGAATCCTCAAGTACCATTGTAACCAGCATTTTACCTCGGGAGGTCATTTTGCAGGTAAGTTCTATTAAGATTGTGACAAAAAAAAAATTAAATAATTACCCACACGCCAGGTTGGAATACCACTTAAATCATAAATATAACCGGGAATCAAAAAATTTGAGTAAACAATGACATAAAGAACATTTACGTGACTATGCCAAATAAAAGTTACAGATTAACATTGTCGCAATAAACACTTCGTTATTCCACTGAAACTTGAACGAGAATCCTTTGATCAATAATTCAACAATGCCACACTTACGTCATTGTGCCACTAGAATTAATCGAAAAATTTTCAAACCCGTTAGAACTAACAATTGCGTCGTTATAGTAACGGAACACGTGCATTTCTGTCTGAGTTCAAAACACAACTGACGATTAAGTCTTACGTCGTAGTGTCTCTGAACCATGGCCGCATATCTGGGTAAATGGAAGAACGACGCGTCGACACCCATGCGAACTACAATTAGGTCGTGGTATCATTAGAAAGAATGATTATTTTTGACACGTTTGACATGTTTAACTAGAAAAATTTAAATTTTGCACTTGCGTCATTGTTCTTCTGGAGGTGCGATATTGCATCAAGATAACGTTCGGGCTCACACTGCTGCTCGAACAAATGAGTATTTAAATGCCCAAAACTTAGAAATCGTGGGTCACTCGCCATATAGTCCAGACCTAGCAACTAATGATTTCTTCTTATTTTCGCTGGCAAAGTGTAAATTATGGTGTTTAAAAAATAAATAAATTAACTAAATCCGCCAGAAAATTGAAGAAAATATTTTGCAAAAATGCTTTGACGGTGTAGGAAAATACTTTGAAAATTTTATCAAATAAATGTATCTTGTAAATAAACTGTGTTTTACTTTACTAAGCTCAACGGAAAGAGAACAGCCCTCGTATGTAAGTATCTTTCTATTTTAGAAATAAAAAAAATGAGAAGTATTTCCCAGGGATTAACCGTTGAACGGATTTGTGTATTCTGGTTAGCAGATACTGATTGACTGGTAGAAATTAACCATCAAACTCCTACTGTACAAAACCACACGCTTCTCAAGAACGGGAATTCCCATTAATGTACATACGATGATAAAAATTGGAACTGTTTCGAACCGCGAACACACTTTGGTGTGTTTGCCCAAACATAAATTCCGAACGTTCAGTCGGTTTCAGTGTATTAGAGTTAGTCAAGAGAGTGTTGTTACTAAATAAAAAACAACAACCTGTTCGAGGTTGACTCGGCGACGCGACGCATCACATCATACCTAGCAACCTGTATTAAAGATACTTTATCTACCGTAAATACGCAATCAGAAAATCATTATCTTACCGAGTTTCCGCTGTGTGCCGGTTAAAGTATGGGCTAAACCCGTCAATTTTTTACTTATTAATGATCTAGTTGTAATAAAAGTAAATGTGATTTGCTATTGTGCAGTGGGCTATATTTAAAGTGGTGCATACATTTTTGAATTGAGAAGCTAATTTAATAAAAAGCTTACTTTGGTGCGTCACGCACGTGGTTTGATAGTTAATAGTGATTTTGTTATTGTAGCATTAAAATGTTTCTAAGGACGTATTATTGGAGTGTAGTTTTTATCGTAATTTTCGTTTTTTGCGAAGGACAACTGGTAGATTCTAATTCGAGTAAAACGAATACATCGACATTGGTACGTATGCTAATTATTATTCATATTCTAACAAAGTAGATAGTTATTATTAATCAGTAGGTATCGAAAGATAACAAACACTATTACCTATCATTTTTTACGGGCTTATTTGTGATATTTCATCGCCTCATTTGGGTGGGTCCACAAATTTTAAAGTTAAATGAATTCGTTAGTTTTTAGATAAAAAGTGGATTGATTTCTTATTTTTGCTGCACTTAATTAAAAATATTTATTATTTACCTGCTGAAAAGTCAATAATTTGAAATACTGGTTTTAATCGTCTGCCGGCAAAAAATATGTATTTAATTGAATTTTTCCGGCGTCTGATACAATAAGTTCATTTAAAGTACCTATAAAGAAGAGTAGGTTCTTAGCCAACTAGCATTTTTTAATCATCTAAGACTGATCTGTCCAAGTTCAAGGCCACTTGAACGAGGGTCGCTCAAAATAAAATTGCGATTTTGAAAATTGCATCATAAAATATATGCAACTATATTTTTGGAAATATGAAAACATAATATATAATCTCCAATTACCGTTACGAAATTTAAAAAAAAATACATTTGCACATCTCCAAAGTAAAAAAAAAACAAATAAAAATTTAAAAAAACACAAATAAAGAAAAGAAAAATGAGTACATCGTCCAGGGATCAAATCTGGAACCATCCAAATAGAGCCTCTTTCTTTTTAGCTGCATATATGGTTAGAGCTTTTGAGTAAATAGTAGGTACTAAACAAACAATTTCGAAAAAAATACATTGTATACATATACAGTGTGTCCTATTAATGCGTAATTGTTCAATATTTCAATTTGTCTTATAGAGGAGCAAACAAGTTTTAAATAAAAGTTTTATGAAATTGAAAAATTCATTATTTTAAAAGTATTTTTGGATATACGGGGTTTTGCGTTTTTGCCTCTAAAATAAAAATGTATATTTTATTAAATAG